GTATTAGTAAATTATTTTTTTATCTAAAATAGTAAATAATTTTATATCTAAAACACCAGGAGTCTGCTAGAAACCTATACAGACTTTTTAATGGAAGACCCATAGTTGACTTTTTTAAAAAGAAAAACCCAATTAAAAAAATATAAGTGGAAAGTGACCTTGCAATGCATATGATAGATTTGTGGTGCGTATATTGCTATACTTGTTATATCTGAAAAACATGATGGAATAAAGTGTAATAGTCTTATGCAACAAAGATATGAATTATGAGCAATAATTAATCGTTTGTGCATCATCATCATTCGTGTATCATTTCGTTATTCACCTTTAGGACCCTACAAAAAAGCTATATGCGGACCAAAGTTTGTTTGTTCCAATCTTTGCTAGAATGTGCCGTACGCTTACAGCACACGGATGCCCGCATAGGGCAACCAAGAAATTAAACTACAAAAGAAATATGAAATATTAATAACCTAATATCTACACATATTAACCCTCTCGAATAAGGCCCTGCCTAATTATCCCTTCACCCAGAATAAACATCCAGGCTTAGAATAGAGAGATTACAGTGAATAAATGGTATTTATAAATTATTAATAAATTATGAAACAGTCCAAATTGGCCACATCCATTTCTTTATTGACATGTCAGAGTTTGCGGTGAGGGGGTCAGATAAACTTCTAATCAGGCGGAAAAATTGCGCCAGCAATGTTACTAAAGTGTGTAACCTACTGTACGTACCCGTCTTTTTTCTGACTTCATCGTCAGAAAGTCCAGCTGACATTTCTTCGAGCTCTTCACAAGTATCAATTGGTTTTAGCAGGACATCTTCCAGCATGTCCTGCCCACCCACGCCCTTCGCTGCCCCAAGAAGCACTTGTAATATGGACAGGGTTTCACTTTGCTTCTAGATCACAATGTCCAATTTTGCCTATACAGCCCGTTGAAAGGCGAGCAAATGTACGAATTATAAAAATACATAATGCAGTAAAAGGGAATACAGCACTAGCATAAGTGTATAAGTGTTGCAAGTCACTTACTCACATAGGACATTCAGGTAAATTTGACAAGTAGCAACTTTGGTTATCATTTGTGCTCTTTACAGTTTAAAACTGCCGCATGATTTCTTGCAGTCTATAGGTACAAATGTTTGTTACCTTGCTGTCGTGTTGGTAAATTTCCCAGTAGAGCTTTACAAAGGACCGAGTCCTTGCTTGGAAATGCTTTGACTGTTTTAAGCTCCAACTACTAAAGTCTCTCTTTAACAGAACACTTACTGTCGGGTTGCTCTTGCCTCGAACTCTGGTTGCTTGATGTCGACTTTGGTGTTTCATCACCAACTATACTGGAACTTGCACCTGCCAATAGCAAATTTAAATTTAAATGGTATAAAAAATGAGACACAATACTGTACGCAAATATTAGTGAAAAAAATAAAGAAAGCAAAAGTTTTTCTAATATGTCCTTAGACCAATGGTGCACAAAGGTTGGAGGGAGAGGAGGTCACTAATTTCCTTTCCACAGATGACCTCCCAGCATCCCCTACCATTATCGCATCAAAAGGAAACAAATTCCTAAGCAATGTGCAAATATAGGACACCACAAAGGAAGAAACTGCCTACTCCTCTGCCCAATCCTTTAACGCACAATGCATCCCATGTACAGGTAGCTCTAAAATTGTCAACTTATACTTTTCCTGTAGTTTTGCTGAAACATTTAGTTGTAGATCAAGTTTTACAGAAGGTTTTATTGGATTGATGAAAATCACAAAAAAATTCAAAACATTGTTTTAATGTCAACTGTTGAAGACTGCAGGTCTAATGTGATATTGAATAATCAATATTTTGGGTATAGCAATCCATTTTAACCTGGCCTTGGTACTAACAGAGACATACCAAATGTTGTTCGAAGCAAGTTCTCATGAGATCCACTGGGTTACGCAGATTTTATCGACCGATTTAAGATTCACATCCATGATAAGCCCCATCTTACTGATGACACATGAATGATTCAACTGAAGATGCATGTTACTGACGATGCAAAGAGAGCGATCTCCGGGTTGGGATCAAAGGGGATAACATATGCAACAGCCTTAAAGACAATTTAGGAACAATTCGAACAGCCAAGTGTAATTGCACGCACCTTGATCAATGATCTAATAAAGGGAGATAAAATTGGCCGAAGTGATAGGAAAAGGTTATGTGAGTGCTCTATCGACCTCCTCAACTGCATGGTGACTTGCGAAGGGAACCGAAAAAAGCGAAAGACAACGAAGATGGAAAGAAAATCTATTCAGCTGATTCCTAGAAGAAGAAAATGCCCTTAAAGTGTTATGTATGTGGAGAAGAACACAGAGTCGTTGAATGCCCAAAGTGTTAGAGGCCACCATCCCAGAAAGATTAGAATTAGCAAAAAAGGCTAGATTGTGCTTTTCCTGCCTAAATCGCAGACATTCAAAGGACTGCAGAGGAAAAAAGAAATGCGACAAGAGTGAACCATGCCCTTAATTCCATGACCCCCTGCTGCACTCCGACCCTCCAACTTCCGCTTCAGTAAGCAATGCCACAACACCAACAACACAGTCCGCTGTGGGATCAGTCCTAGATGAGTCAAGTATGATGCCTGTAATCAAAGCTCAGTTCCAAGCCCTTAACGGAAGAATACGTAAAGGAAATATTCTGATCGATAGCGGAGCAGGAACGACAGCCATACAAAAGCAATTTGCGAGTGACCTCGGTTTAAAGGGAAAGAAAGAGCGCATCAACCTAACAGTAGTCGGAGGAAAGAGGCTCGAGCAACTGCACAGTAGGAGAGTCAACTTTTGTATAGCAGGACTCAAGAGTAACAAAGAATTCAAGATCGAAGCACACGAGATAGACAAAACCATTCTGAATGTTCCTGAATTAGACCGAAAGTGGCTCAATTCATTCTCTCACCTCCAAGATATCCAATTTGATTATACAGCGAGTCCAGTTGATCTCATCCTAGGAGTCCACTACACTCATCTACACGCGGAAGAACAAAAAAAACATGTCGTGGCGATGCCTTCCAACAACAAGTGGCCAAGAAAACTAAGCTCGGATGGTATGTAATTGGGGTAAACAAAGAATCTGGAACGTCCGGAGTTCCAAAAGATTGACTTGGAGAAATTCTACAAATTCGAAACGCTTGGAGTCCAAGCTCCCAATTGTCAATGCCCTACATTACCTCTGTCGCCTGATGATAAGCGAGCAATAGATCTAATGTAAAAGTTGTGCAAGCGCAAAGATAACCGTTACATCATTGGCCTCCCATGGAAAGGGGATGAGACTTTGCTACCTAACATTTGTTAGCAGAGAGCTGACTTCGATCGTTGGAAAAGAGTTTAAGTAAAAATAAAGAAAAGGCAAGAATGTACAACAATGCGATTATCCAATTACAAGCCAACAACTGAGCGATTCCGTTGAGTGAAGAAGATCTGAAAGTCGAAAGGAAACCTGTGTATTATTTGCCCCGCCATGGAGTTTACCGTCCTGACAAGAAAAGCACCCCACTATGAGTAGTCTTCGATCCAGCAAGTCCTTACCAAGATGCATCGTTGAATTCCCTCCTGTACAAAGGTCCAGGACTGATCGGCAACTTACTTAAAGTACTGCTACGCTTTCGTGAAGAGAAAGTCGCGTTCACAGAGATATTTCAAAGATGTTTCTATAAATCTTACTTCCCGAAGAAGACACCCATGTGCACCGCTTTCTTTGGAGAAACCTTGACAGGAGCAAAGAGCCTATAACATACACTTTGCAGAGAGTTACGTTCGGCGACAAGCCTTCCCCTGATATGGCTAGCTTCGTCATGTTTAAAATCGCAGAAGAAAACAAGAAAGAGTCTCCACGTGCAGCTATGATCCTAGAGCGTGACAGATATGTGGACGATCTTATTCATTCAAGTCAAGCAGCCTGCAGTGCCGTCGCATATCTAGTTTGTGTCTTCGAAAGCAAGAGTAGCTCCAATATGTCATACCACTATCCCGAGGCTAGAGTTGATGGCAGCTCTAATTGCATCGAGACTTGCCCAGACCATCTATGAACAATTTAAGATCCTTATAAGACCTAATGTTCCTTAAAGGAAAACCTGCATTCGTATTAAAAGGTAAATATTTAAAAAGTGTATCTTTAGTATTGCCAGAAATCTTTAGTAGAAGGTCATCGCAAAGATTGTCCCGATGGGATGACAACCATTCCAAACTCGATAAATCAAGGGCAACTTCGTATGGTGTATCAAAGCCGTGAATAATCCTCATTGCTCGTTTTTTAACATGTTCCAAGGACTCCTTTAATTTTTCTTGCAAGTTAAAGTTAAAAACCTCACAAACATATGACAAAACGGGGCAGATGCACGTGACATTGAAATTTACTAAGTCTTTGGTGTGGACTTTTGCTCGCTTCAACTGTGATAGGAAACAAAGGCGAGAATTTAAGATTACTTTGAATAGTCACACCCAGGATCTGTAAAGAGTTCACAACTTGACAGTAGTGTTGCCCCACAAATTTTGGTGGGCAAAATCAGACAGAGACTGCTTAAAAGATATTTGCATTTCCTCGGTCTTTTTTGGTTGAATTTGAAATTTGTTCTCACTTGACCAATTAGATATTTCATCAACAATAGCTTGTGCAGAGCTATGCCCAGATTTGCTCACAATTTCAAAGCAGGTTGTATCATCAACATAGATCACATTACCATTTGATGATTTAATCTCTAAATCGTTAATCATCACCAGAAAGAGCCATGGTCCCAGTTTATAACCTTGAGGAATACCAGTGGGAACATTATCCCAAGTTGAGAAAATATCATTCTCCAGTTTGACTCTTTGCTTACGATCACTTAAGAAGTCATGGATCCAATTTAAAATGAAAGGATTGATTTCATAGCTTTTCAATTTACACATCAGTAAGTTGTGATCGATTAAATCAAACGCTTTTTTGTAATCCATTAAGATTACTCTTGCTTCTGAACCCATGACATCAGTTGCTTCCAGCCAATGATGAGTTAGGTATATCAGAGCGTGTGTAGTCGATGAATGCGGAACACAACCAAACTGGTCGGATCGAATTTTCTTCAAGATGACAAGGTTTCACATGCTCTTGCATGACAAACTCTTCAGCGATTTTCAATAAGGTAGGCGTGAGAAAAATTGGCCTCAAATCTTTATTAAAATTTTTATGGCCAATTTTTGGTAGGGGGATGACATAGCCTTTTTCCATATAGTAGGGAATATCTGTTTTTAGAAGGACGAATTAATTAGATAACATACTGGTTCAGCAAGTAGATGACTAAAGGATCTTAGGAGCCAATTTGGAATGACGTCAGGGCCAGATGCTTTGGACACTTTAATTATCCTTAGTTTTCTTTAAACCGCTTCGATGGTAACTTGGGGAACTCTATGATTAGTTACCGCAATTTTTCCACTGGAGGATAGTTTTGAGTAGCTTTGCGAATGATCCAGAAACGTTGAATTTACATCGTTAGCCAATTTTGTTTCGGAGTTAAATTATGGCGATTCAATTTTCAGAAGTTTATTAACGATGCTCACATTCCATTTTTGACATACTGCAAATCTTCTTACAGGACGACTACCATTTCTTGGGATCGGTATGTTTCAAATTTTCAACCTTGTTCTTATAATATTTCTATTTAATTATCTTCCTTTCCTGGTTTACTCTATTCTGATAAAACGCAAAGAGCAAAGTGTTGTTTTCTTTCAAGGCCTTTTGACGATTATGGATTAGCTCTTTAAATTTAGGAGTCATCCAAGGGGCATTGTTAGCGTGCAATTTAACCAATTTTAAGGGCATAATTGTGTTCAAACCAAGGTTCGAATTAAATTTTTAAAAGTGGATAGCAATTTTCCGCCTGTTTCCTTATACAATAAAAAGTGAATAGCGAATGTTTAATTAAGTGATTAAACTATTTAATAACTGTATAAAAGCCGTATAATGATTGTTTATAATTGGAATGATAAGAAGAATTTCGATCAGGTGAAGAATGTTTTTGCAATCATTTTTGGTCGACTCACTCGTCAAAATGCGTTTCCAGACTTCGAAATACTTAACTTCCGTACTGTTTAAGAACGGTTGAACAATTGTTTTCAGAGTGTCCCACTCTAACAATGCTTCGTCAACTTTACAACCATTTTTCTCCAAAAGAATCTTAAAAAAATCAAGCAACTTACTCACAGCATTATCACCAAATGAAATGTCATCATTCAATTCCTTGGGCCAGACTGAAACGTCCAAAATTGATGTGATATCACCGAAAACTGGGGATGCATTCAAATCTTGAAACCGCTTCTCCATGCTCGAGAGGATTTGAGTTATTGTTTCAGAATACTGGTTTGCAACATCATCATTTACAAAATTGAATCTAGCTAGTGGAATACCTTGATAAGCTGTTTCCTCCTTTTCGTTGGTTTCAAGTTCAGCGATAAGTTGTTTGTAATGAGTGAGCTTGCTAGTGGGATCGTTGAGGGACTTCTCTATTAAGGCACGTAATTTCATCATGGACCAGGAAAACTCCTTAATTCTATGAACCGCTTTAACTGGATCGTGCAATTCTTGCTGAAAACCCAAACTTAAGCGACGTATGGGAGAAAGGATATCCAAATAGATTGCCAGGTAAATTGGAAATGTAGCATCTTTCCATTTGTACATATACCCTTTCAATTCCGCTTGCTTGGTTGGATTTGAATCGGTTTGAAAAAGTGATTCAATATGACTAAGAAACGCCCAGTAATTTTCTAAAGCTATTTTGATTGCGTTGACTTTGTGTTCTATCCAGCGAGTGCCAGTTTCCTTTGTTGGTTTTGGAATAGATGTTTGCCAAGCTTCTGCTAATTGCTTTAGTTCACTATAGCGTTTTGGACTGGCATTGTAAAGCGCATGAAGTACTTGGAGCATCTGATCAATTTTTGAAAATGCTGATGCATCAAAAACATCTGTCAACGCAAGTTCAATACAATGATTAAAGCAGTGAACCAAAACAAGCCAAAGTGCAGTTTCACGAACTTTTGCACCAAGGCCAGCGTGTATGCCCATATTAACACTTGCTCCGTCCACGTCGAGACCAACAAGGCAGTCAGGAAAGCGAGAAATAACAAGTCGACTGAAGGAACTCTCAATTGCACGTAATATTCCTTCAGCATCAGCTGTTGTAGCCGATTCAACACCTGCAAATTTGACGACAGGTGTTCCATCTTGAAGGAATAAAACATACACTAATTTCTGTTCAGTCGTGCTAACATCAGTGCTGCCGTCACTCAAAATGGAGTAATAACATGCTTTTGCTAAATCAGCTTCTAAACTTTCTCTGGTTACTTCTTCTATGACATTGACAAATTGGGCTGCTGCTCGATCAGTGGTGTAACTTTCTCCAATATTCAAAACTTTATTTTTGGATTGAAGTTTCAACAGTTCGGAAAAATCGGAGAAAGGCCTCTCTTGCTTTGTGAGATAGTAGGCTGAATTAAATTTAATTCTTAAAGACTCTCGATCTTTCACGCTCATGCACATGTTTTTAAAGTTCTGACCGATAGGTGTTACATCCACTACCCGATTCATATACACTTCAATTTCCATTTTGCTCTTGTCCTCGATTTGCTTGGCCTCCATGTGAGCTATACTGTTTGTGTGCCCTTGAACAGCATGTTTTTTCACAGATTCTGAACCTGGATGAATCCAAGTGGTGGAAAAATTCTTCATACCGTTTATACGACTCTCTTTTTTGTACAAAGTTTGCATCGTATCCGTACAACAAAACCATCCCGCATATCATAGTCGAATTCGCAACCAAATTCCTTCTCCCAATGCTGTACTGTTTTAAGTGCTGCTTTATGATCCTTCCCTTTGGAACTCATCTTTACAATCAAACTTACAAGATCTAACTACATTCAGTGAAATATTTTCAACATACATTTATAGGTCCTCCCCGCCTAGGCGTGCCTTTGGTTGACGTCTTATTTTTTACCCCCTAGGCGTGCTTGGTTGACGCGTCTTATTATCTTGAATTTACTTGAACTTGCTACGTCGCCATTTATGAAAATGTTGCTAATTGGATTTTGAAAGAATGTCGTAATCTCAGCCAGCGCTTGAAACACGACATTTAAAATGGAAACGATTATTTTAACAAGTTTTGTTGCTTTTGTATTATTTGAATTAAATGTTTTAAATTAAAATTGATACAACGTGCATCAAAATATGACATTGCGCTGTCTATTTTAATCATAGGCAACCCAAAAATGTGGGTTGTAATCTTGCGTGACGTCAATCTAATAAATGCGGGTTTCAAATTTTAATCAAGTGTACTCTTGCTGTTTTGCACCATTGCATAACTTACAATCGGCTACTTGAATCTACTTATATATCAATACTATGTATGTATGGAACGAAAAATTAGGATCAAAATACGATTATACATTTATGTAAGCTATTTATAATACATTATTAAACATTAATACACTAAAAGTTCAGGATTTTCCCACTCTTTATTTCTACGGCAAAATATATAATATGTAGTTCGCAATCGTCGCCATATGTTTCACACAGTAATCCTGTTGTTTCTGGTCTACGCCAATTTTATCAAGCATTTTAAAAAGGGATCTACTTTCGTCAGCAAAAATACCTAAACAACTCATGGATTTATTTACAAATACTACATCTCTATAAATTCTTGTTTGCTCTTTTACAAGTTCAAAATACTTTTGTTTTTTGCGGTTGCTGTTGTTTCGAAGGTTAGATTCATAACCGACGGTCAATTCTGCAATATATAATGTGTTGTCTGAAGTAACGAGGAGAATGTCAGGACGATATTGGTCCCCAGTGATAACAAACAACAACAACATAATAATAATAATGAAAACTTTATTCAATTTTTCTGTATAATATAATAGCAAATCTCACTTGAAAGTTAAAATAATAACCAATAACTAACAACTAACACTAATACTAATCATGATAGTATATTATGTGTCAAACAATTCTTACATTCTCATTGTGTGTCCCACATTCAGATATATGAGATCTGATTAAGTTTAATGGAATTTCCTCAGAACAGTTTAAGCATTTCACTGTTGGTCCATTGGCTCCTTCCCAAACAATGCAAGAAAGTCATAATTTTACTGTGACTGTTTACATCATACACTTCCTAACAATGAAATATATATTTGTACATGAGCAAATTTACCTGCATTGTGTGATTTTCGCTTGTCTGATCCGCAATTGTTTCAAGAGGAATAGTATCCAGATCAGCTTGAATGGGTCTTATGCAATAGTTTGTCCAAGACCAGAACTATCTCTTAGAAATGACACTGCATAAAACCACAACTTGAGGGAGGATTTATTTTCTTAAAATCTCAAATCCCCCTCCAGCTGTCAATCTAGGGTAAGCAGCTTCTAATTTTGCTTTTAAATTTGTGGCATTATTTTATTTAAAAATTTAGTATAGATACATAAACTACATATACTACACTAGGTTGCACAAACAAGAGGAAGGTTTGAACACAAGGAACTATACTAATATGAAAGGTAACCTAATTACTAATGAGACAATGTTAACAAGAACATAAATTAAGAGTGTTACAGTGACGACATTTAGGACAAATCAACTTGTAACTTCTAATATTGTCCTGATCGAATAGCACACGAAGTCTATGACGGCAAAGAAGCGCAAGACTTGACATCATCGGGTAGAGCGTTCCATATCAGGACAATATGGGGAAAATAAGAATCTCTAAATGTTGATGTTTTAGGAGTAGTCTTAAGTCTTAGGTACAAGCCGGTCGTAGAGCGATGTGAATTTCCAGTGCAGAATGAGATATAATTATCTAGCTTAATAGAACTATTATCAGATTTACAATTAAAGAAAAATACGAGATCGAGATATTCTAACCAATAACTAAGTGGTAATAAATTAAGGTGGCATAACGATCCCTATAACTATAGTGGTCCATTTTGGATAACTTACAAATAAGCTTTGCAGCTCTACGTTGAACAGATTCAACCAGTAATATGTTTCTCTGATCTGGGGAGCCCAGATCAGACTGCAACAGCCGAGGTGCGACCTTATTAATGCTAAATAAAGAGCTTTGAGCACATTGCTTGAAATTTCTTTAGAGCAATTGCATTTCAAAAAGGTGAGCATTCTGTTTGCTTTAGCTGATATAGAGCCTACGTGCCTGTTCCAAAGAAGTTACCAGTCACAATCACACCAAGGTCTTTTTGTTAGTCTACGCATTTGAGTTCTGCATTATGGTTAATTCTGTACACACAATTAAAGCTAATATGCTTACGAAAAATGCAGAGATTTTTGCATTTTCGTGGCCGAAACTCTAATTCGTTTTGTTTCGCCCAGTCGCTTACCACACTCAGATCTTCCTGAAGGGCAGCACAGTCCGGTTTTGAAGTAATACACTTGCAACATTTCGATTCCTCCACAAACATTGTTATTTGTGAATTTTTCACCTCCTCCGGTACGTCATTAATGTTGATAAAAAATAATATGGGTCCAAGTAGGGATCCTTGTGGAACTCCAGATTTGACTTCTGCCCAGGAGGATTGGATACCATTGATGACGACACGTTGTTTTCTCCCGGGTTTCTTCCACTTATTCCAACATGTTGTAACTTCCAGAGAAGGCGACTGTGACACACTAAGTCAAATGCTTTCGTAAAGTTGAGGTAAATGATGTCACTTTCTAGTCCCTTGTCCAAATTAAAACCAATGGTATGAAAGACCTCAACAAGTTGATTTGCACATGACAGGCCCTGTTGAAAACCATACTGTGCAGGGTGCAGAATTTTGGAAACATGAGGTACTAAATTTAGGGCAACACATTTTTCTTGTATTTTGGAGACTATGGGTAAAAGAGAAATCTGTCAAAATTTTTCCACTACATCTCGAGCACCATTCTTGTGAATGGGCGAAATATTCGCTTGTTTCCATTCTGAGATATAGAGGCCTGTTCTTAGGGAAGTATTAATGAAAACAGATAAGGAAGGTGATAATGATTTGGCACACATTTTTAACATAATAGCTGGTAATTTATCCGATCCAGTAGCTTTCGAGACATCCAAATTAAACATAAGAGAGAACACATCTTCGGGCGTAACTTGAATAAGTTCTAACAATTCATTAATATTGAAATTCACAGGACATAGATCCGGTGATGAGCGACATGTATGGTGTTTGTAAATGGACTTAAAGTAATCATTAAAAGCTTCAGCATGCTCAAAGTCATCACTAATTGAAACATCTTTATACTTAATCTTTTCAGGAACTGGCTTCAATTTATTTTTGAAGGAATAATATGACCAGAAGTGTTTCGTATTTGAAAAGGCCTCATTAGCAATATCACGCATATACACTTTTTTTTCGCAGCGAAAGAGTTTCGCTGAGGCAGTTTCACTGAAACGTCAATTCCGGCCGATTGCAAAACGTGCTTGACCCAATTTGATACAGTCTCTTTTGATACTGCCTTGTAAGGTTTTATGAAACTTATCAGCAATTGTTTCTCTTCTCGTCTTAAGACACTGGTCTTCTCTAAATAATGTTTTATGTGAGTAACAATGCACAAGTTTATATCTGATTTAAAAGCCATGAAAACCAAAGGTTGTTGGTGAACACCTTGCCTTGTGTGTTTTAACTTTTCAGTGATAGTAAATGTCACCTTGTCCTCATTAACAAACATGTCATCTATTGAAAGCTTGTGGATAGTTTGGCAGCTTTGTCCACTAAGTAGACATAATAAAAACGTTAATCTGTGAGTCAGTTCCTTTAGTGAAATGTCTTTATAACTGACTTTTGCTTTCTGATCAAATTAAATACCACATTAACATTCCAAATAGCACTGTATTTTGGTAAAGCTGGTCTCTTTTCAAAGGCGCCTTTCATGAATCTCTTAACTACAGGCAGCTGTCCAAACGGAACATCGGTATCTTTTATTATTATGAGCGATGATGGTGCACTTCTCGCTGTGTTAATATAACTATAGGACAAATTATCATTAACTAAATCCGAAAGAAATTTCAATGTCAAGGGTAGCGTGGGACAGACCCTATCACAATTGTCCCTTCTACAGAAATCTGACCATTTTTTGTATACCCCTTGGTATTACGCCAGAGTTCCATGCCTCCATTAACCCAAAATTATTTGAATTGTCTCTGCAGAGAAACCATCTAGTTGTAATTTTGTCCGGATACTTGACAAATAGCTAGGCGTAACGTCTTGTGAAGCGGATCGTCTTCTCTTGATTTGATTGAGGGCATCACAAGCAGGTTCTTTGATGGTTTCAGAATCGTCGGCTGTTGTTCCAGGATCGCTGTTAGCATTGGGAACCACAACTGTGTCGGCCAATAAGGTACCACAATGATTCCTCTCCCTCGTTCGTCTATTATTTTCCTTAAAACTTTGAGGATACAACTGAATGGGGGGAAACAATAAAACTTTATATCAGCCCAATGGATCGTAAACACATCGATGTGAAGAGCAAAGGGGTCTGGTTTATATGAGACGTACTGGGGAAATTGTGTGTTCAATTGTGAGGCAAAAACATCAATAGCAGGGGAAAATGATATTTCCTGCAGGGCTTGCATTAAAATTTTTGGATTTAACTCATAATCTGCCATAGTATTATGTGCTCCTGGGATATGAGCAGCTGTCAACCACATATTATTTTTCAATTTATTAATTTTCAAATTTTTGTGGTAATACCATTACACTTTATACTGTGACACGTACCACTTTTA